CCTTGTTTCTTTGCTTGATAGTTGTAAATGTCATTCTCTCCAGTCCTGCACCATCATCATGACTGTTGGTATGTTTGAATCCATTGTCGCAGCCATTGTGTCAATCTATCTCACTGAGGGTTTCCCCCTTCCTCGCTGGCCTCCACTTTACCAAACATAGCCTTCTCCAGCAATTGGTTCCTTCTGATGATGTGTTCAAAGTAAGTCAGTCAAAGTTTCAGACAATAATCTGTCATCCACAGGCTTCCACTGGCAAATATTCAGAAATATAGTTCCAGGTCTTTCTTCTTGGTGTCTCTTAGCCTGGAAGCTCTGCTGAAGACTGTCTATTACAGGTGACCCTGCTGGTATTTGAAACACAGGCATAGCTTCCAGCCTTGTAGCAACATCTAAGCCACCACAGTGTGACAAACCAACAGACGGGTGGTGGATTTTCCTTTTTACTCTTTTATAAATTGAATAGAGATCTTCCCAGTAGGCAGTTAGAAGTGGCTAACCCTCTACCTCAATTTCCCAGAATCCTCCACAACCAAGATGACTGTGGGGCTTATTGTCCAGACCAGGACACTTTTCAGAGTGAAAAGGGACTCTGGGAGAATAGTTGTAAACCAGGTCTGGGCCAAGGGAACCTGCATTTATGGTCACTCTGCCCCAAACCAATCCCAGAAACACCCTCCCCTCCCTCCTTTCTCCCCTGTGAGTTCTGTGGCCTGAACTGACACAACCATTTTGTGGCAGGGTTGGGAGTCAAATCCAGGCCAGACTTGCTCTCTGGTCTTAACCACTTCCAAAGAAGTTCAATTGTGAACAGTTATGCAATGGACAACTGCTGTGCCCAGACTCCACAACGCTTGGTGCATTAAGTATTGATTAGTTTTTATTGTACTGTAAGTTGACCCCCAACTCATCCATGCACAGCAGAACAAACCACCACCCACAGGGTTTTCGTTGGCTGGTTTGTGCAAGTAGATCACTAGGCCTTTCATCCTAGTCTGTGTATCATCTGGAAGTTCCACTGAAATCTGTTCAGCATCACAACAACACAAAAATCATCCACAGAGGAGTCAGTGGCTGCCTGTGAGGTGTACTGGTGGGGAATCAAACCAGGATTAAAGGGGGAACTGTGTGGGAATGTTCATCTTCCTTGATAGAAAAAGTCTATCAAGTGTGTGTCACCCTAAAACATTTAAGATGTTAGTAAGACTGCAGTTCATGGGCAGCTGGTAAGCCAAGAGGATTGTTAACTTGAGACAGGGCTGAGAATGGCTATGCCTTTGGCTGAGGCTATCCTGGAGATCCAGTGGAAACAACATGAGGGCATGGAAAGAACAAACATGCTGAGGGACTTGCTGCTAAGCACTGAGACAGGTCATTTATCTCATGGAGATTTATAACTCACTGGAAAAGCCTCGATGATTCTCATTTTGTGGGTGAAGAAACCAGGACTCAGTTTCTGAGAGGACTTGCCTCACAATCCCATCTGGTTGACTCAGGAGTCCACTGCTTGGTTAAGGAGGGAAGCTGGCTTTGCCCTTCTCAGCTCAGTGTAGAATAGGAACTTAAGTAATGTGCTTAAGAATGGATGGACAGACACGTGGCTGGCTGGCTGGCTAGCAAGGTGGATGGATAGATGGGTGGGTGGATGGATAGACAAATGGGCAAATGGATGGACATACATATGGTTGGCTAGCCAGCCAGGTGAATGGATGGATAGGTAAAGGGATGAAAGAATGGATCCATAAATACAGATCACTGGCTGACTAACAGATGGACAAGTAGATGGGTAGATAGATAATCAGATGAATGGATGGTTTCACAATGTTAGGCAAGTTACTCAGACAGTTGCCCAAGCTAGCTCTTGAGTGGAACCCACCACTGCTGGATCTCATCAAATCCTTAAGCTCTCCCAAAAGCTCCTTTCTCATCTCTGATTCTGGGCCCCAACTCAGGCCCCATAGTCCCAAGAAAGGGGAAGGAGCTTCTCAAAGGCTCCCTAAGACCTGTCTCTGGATTTCAGAAACTTCTGCACACACCTTTTGTCATTGTCAGCCTCCCAAACTGGTGGTGCAGTGCCTAAGGCATTTGACTGCTAATCAGAAGTTTGGCAGTTCAAACCCACCAGCTGCTTTGTGGAAGGAAGATGAAGCAATCTACTTCCCTGAAGATTTACCACCTTGGAAATTCAATGGGGGTCACTATGAGATGGAATTGACTTGATGGCAGTGAGTTTGATTTTTTTGGTTAATCTAGTGATTGACTGGTATATATTCCCCCTCCCTCCATCTCATCACCACCCAGTTCTACTCTGCCCAAGCATCCCTTGGATGCGTCCTCTCCTCCTCAACCTTCCTCTTTCCAGCTTGGTTCAGACCTCACCATCTCTCACCTGGGCCATCCCATCATCAGCCTCTTAACTGGTCTCTCTGCTTCTGGACTTTCTTCCTCTGACACATCCCCGACGCACCCTTCCCTGGCTTGTCAGTGACTTCATAGCCTCTGAGGCTCACACTCTGGATCCATGACTAGGTGTTTAGAGACCCTCCATGATTCACTACAACAAACCTTTCTGGGTTTATCTCCTGTTGCATCCTCAGTCATACACTCCCTCTCCTCAGGACTCCACCCAGATGCACAAACAGACCCATAGACACACAGATGCAGGACAAGGGTACAGGTTGTTTGAGCCACTCCCTGGGGAGTCCTGTGAGGCCAGGAATGAAGGGACTGTCTCTGGGGTCCCTGGGAGCAAAATACTTGAATGGAGGCAGGGTCTCTGCTGGGAGAGTGGGGAGAGAATATGTCTGTCCCTTCACTTGGTGGTTGTTCAGGCTTCATGTCCATGTGGGGGAGGGAGGGCCTGACCACAGTCTCTCCCTGCAGAGTTGATGATTAGCAATTAACTGGGAGGAATCTCGGGGGTGAGGTTAATCAGGGAACAGTGGGAGGGCAGCTAGGGTTCTAGGGACTTTGCCCTTGACCCGAGGGTATAAAGAGGAGGGTCCCAGCTCCTCCTCAAGCCCCTGGGGCTTTCCTGAGCAGCTGAGCAGGAGCTGAAAGACAGAAGCCCAAGGTGAGCCCAGGGCCCCCACGTCCCAACCCTATCCCCAATTCTTAGTAGGAAACATCCCATCACCCCAGCCAGAAGTCGTCAGTCAGTCCCTCAACCAGTCTACCCTCTGTCCTGTCTGGGTGCCTCCTATTCCTGCCTCTACAACATCGCAGCCCCCAACCAGCCTGGCTCACTCCCCCAGAGTGAAAATGACACCTGCTGTCCCAGGGCTTAGAATTCAACTGTGCCTCGAATAGACCCTAAAAGCCAAGGACCCCTGGAACAATATGGAGGATGCTGAGGCAGACTAGAGACAGCCCCACCCCAATAACGAAGGACTCTGGGACAATGCAGAGCAAGCCTGGGGCTTCCTAGACTTGGGGACAAGGTGGTGGCCCTCCAGAACCAAACCAGTCCAGATGTGAGCCTCAATCACAGAAGAAGGGCCTTCGGAGTTTGTTTCTCGCCCCTAGGGTGGGTGGTGGATGGGAAAGGAAGTTAATTTGTGAGAGAAACCCAGGAACTTGGGATCTGGGTGCCCATTGTGGGCTGTGAATGACCGGGTGGTTTTTCACTGCTCTCAGGACAGACAAAACACTCTGCCCACCTGGCTTGGCCTCGGCCTACACCCACAGCCTCTTCCACCTCCCCAGGTCCCCTTGCCCCTCAAGCACACAGCAATTCTCCATTCTGAAATGGAACCTGCTCCTTCCCACATGGGGCCTTACCACACACCTCCACCCCTCTTCCTCTGGCGAACTCTGATTCTCTACATCTTTGCTCACTCTCTTTCCCAGGGAAGACTCTCCTCCCTTAAGAACTGTCACCACCGCCACCACGGGACACACAGGACACTCTCGTGGCATCCTTTATCTACCATTATAACACTGTCCTGTTGCATTTTCCGTTCATTTGAGGGGTTACAGGCATACCTCGGAGATATTGCAAATTCAGTTCCAGGCCACCGCAATAAAGTGAGTCACACAATTTTTTTCATTTCCCAGTGCATATAAAAGTTATGTTTACCCTATACTGTAGTCTTTTAAGTGTGCAATAACATTAGGAAAAAGTTTAGAAAATTGTGACAATAACCAAAGAGACACAAAGTGAGCACATGCTGTTGGAAAAATAGTGCCAATAGACTTGCTGGATGCAGGATGCCACCACCCTACAATTGATAAAAAATGCATTATCTGCCAACCACTATTAAGTGAAGCACAATAAAACAAGGTATACCTGTATTTAACTTAGCTCAAATGCTGCCACTAGCCTTGTAGCTTCCTGAGGAAGGACCTCTGTCTGACTTTAATCCCCACTGCACCCCGCATCTGGGTGGTACAAACGGTTAATGCACTCAGCTGCTAACAAAAAGATTGGAGTTTCGAGTTCACCCAGAGGCACCTCAGAAGAAAGGTCTGGCAATACACTTCCAAAACTATCAGCCGCTGAAAACCCTAAGGGAGCTCAGTTCTGCTCTGATGCATATATGGTCTCCATGAATTGAAGTTGGCTCTGTAGCAACTGTGAGCTGCAGTGGCATAGTGCCTAAAACATTTGACTGCTAACCAGAAGGCTGGTGGTTCAAACCCACCAGCCACTCCTTGGAAGAAATGTTGGGCAATCTACTTTCATAGTGATACTGCCTCTGAAACCCAAGGAGAGACCACTATGAGTTGAATCGACACGATGGCAGTGAGTTTTGGAGTTTATAGCAACTGATTGGTTGGTTGGTTGCACCCCACATCCAGCTGAGGGTTGGACTAGAGTAGATGCTCAATAAATACTCTATGAAAGAATGAACAAACACCCAAATCTGTGGCATTTGTGGGTGTTTGTGTATGTGAATCCCTGAGTTCCTGTGGGAGTCTGGGTGTGTGTATGTATGTGTGTGTGTGTCCAGGACACACAGCTGTCACTCAGTGTTCACACAGGCACCAAGTGTGTATCCAGGATGATGTCCTATGGAGAGAGGCTGGGGAGCCCAGCTGTCTCCCCACTCCCTGTCCGCAGGGGACATGTGATGCATGGGGCAGCCTTTGCTTATGTGCCCAGCCCGCAGGGTGAGTGCTGCCCCTACCCTGCCCCATGGGCTTGGCTTGCCCGCAGCCACCCACATCCTGGGTGATGCCTCTGCCTCTTCACCTGCCCACAAGCCTCCCTGGGACCCTTGGGCCTCTGGTGCTCCTGACTGGCCTCCCTCCCCAGTCCTGCACAGGATCCCAGGGACTTCTGCCTATGCTTTCCCCAGCCTGGGCCCCGTGGCTCTTGCTGAGCACGGCTGCCCTTATGGGGAGGTTCTGGAGCTCCATGACCCACTGCCTGCCAAGCTGGCCCTGGAAGAGGAACAGAAGCCAGGTAGGCTGGGCAGAGGCAACAAGCGTTCTGGTAATTATGACCCAGCCCCCTGACTACCCACAGTGCTCATGGCCACCTGTCTCCAGAGCCTGGGTTGGCCCAGAAGCTGCGCCAGGCTGGCACCATGCTGCTCAAGGTGCCACTGATGCTCACCTTCCTCTACCTCTTTGTCTGCTCCCTGGATGTGCTCAGCTCAGCATTCCAGCTGGCTGGAGGTAGGGTTGCGTGGAGGGGTTGGGGCGGGGTTCTTGAAGGGCTTTTGTTGACACTGGCTCCTACTCCCCAGGGAAGGTGGCTGGTGACATCTTCAAGGATAACGCCATCCTGTCTAACCCAGTAGCAGGGCTGGTGGTGGGCATCCTGGTGACTGTGCTGGTGCAGAGTTCTAGCACGTCCACCTCCATCATCGTCAGCATGGTCTCCTCTGGCTGTGAGTTATCCCACAAGGCCTGGGGAAAGCTGAATGTGTGTGAGTTTGTGTGTGTGTGCTGGACAGGGTGCTGGGCGTCAGGGGGCAGAGAGGGCTGTTGGAGTGGGGGCAGGGTGTTGGGGGGCAGGAGTGGGGACAGGAAGCTGGGGGGATAGGGGATGGGACCAGGAGTGAAGGCAGGGGTCCAAGAGCAAAGAGCAAGGCTCTGGCATCTCCCACTCTGTCCCCCAAGAAAGGTCAGGAGTCTGAGCCAGGAAGGTGACAGATAGGACTTATTTCTATATGGCCACTCACCCAATCACTCATTGTATCAGTTAGGGTTCTACCAGAGAAACAGAACCAGTAGGAGATGTGTGTATGTATATATATGCATGCAGTCATGCAAGCAAGACTGGGCAATCTACTTCTGTAAAGACTGACTGCCTCAACCCAATGGAGGTCACTATGAGCCATGGCAGTGGGTTTGGTTATATAGATAGATGTTGTTGTTGTTGTGTGCTGTTGGGTCAGACTCAACTCATAGTGACCTCTCCTTGGGTTTATGAGGCAGTTATCACTACAGAAGTAGATTGCCCAAACTTCTTTCCGAAGAGTGGCTGGTGGATTTGAACCACCAGCCTTCTGGTTAGTAGTCAAGTGCCTTAGGTTCTACACTACCAGAGCTCCCATATAGATAGATAGACATGTTGTTGTTGTTGTTGTTACGTGCCTTTGAGTTGGACCTGACTCATAGCAACCCCTCCTTGGGTTTCCGAGGCAGTATCACTACAGGGATAGATTGCCCAACCTTCCTTCCAAGGAGTGGCTGGTGGGTTTGAACCGCCAGCCTTCTGGTTAGCAGTCAAGTGCCTTAGGCACTATGCTACCAGAGCTCCCATATAGATAGATAGACATATGATATACCTATGTCTATCTGTCTAGCTATCTATCTAAAGAGATTTATTGCAAGGAATTGACTTACACAATTGTAGTGGCTAGGCAAGCCTAAAATCCATAGGGCAGGACATCAGGAAGGGCAGGTGCAAACTCTGGAACAGGAGCTAATGCTGCAGCCCATGGAGGAATGTCTTCTTCCTCAGGGACCCCTCCACTCAGCTCTTCAAGCTTTCATCTGATTGGATGAGGATGATCCCCTTCACTTGTAGTCAACTGAGTGTAGATATTACCCACATCCACAAAGTACCTTCATAGCAACACCAAGATAAGCATTGGATGGAAACACTGGCTATAAGCCTACCAACTTGACACATAGAGCTGACCACCATGGTCATGTACATGTGCACTCACACAGCACATATACATGTTTATACATATGCACACGTACATGTATGTTCACACACATGTTCATGTATGTACACATGCAGTGCATATATATCATATGTGTGCCCAGGTTCACATAAATATACAACACACAGCCCATGCACCTGTGACACTGGGGCTGGCAGAGTCAGCAAGAATGCCTGCTGGGGGCTGGGATGTTGACGGTGCATCTGGCAGGTGCTGTTGTGGCAACGGGGGCCGGGGGGCCCTGCCCAATTAATTAAGAGGCTCCCTCTTCTACCAGTGCTGGAGGTAAGCTCTGCCATACCCATCATCATGGGCTCCAACATTGGCACCTCTGTCACCAACACCATCGTGGCCCTGATGCAGGCAGGGGACAGAACTGACTTCCAGCGGTGAGGGGGTGGGGAGGTGATGGGCCTTGGGCTTGCTGGGGGAGGGTGGCACCTCTCCTCCTTTACCAGGATGTCAGGAGCCCCCAGGGCGAGTGCACCCTGGCTCTGGCCGCCTGCCCTGCCACGTGGCCTCCTTGCCCAGGGCCTTTGCAGGGGCCACGGTGCATGACTGCTTTAACTGGCTGTCAGTGCTGGTCTTGCTGCCCCTGGAGGCTGCCACCGGCTACCTGCACCATGTCACTCGGCTCGTGGTAGCGTCCTTCAATATCCGTGGTGGCCGAGATGCCCCAGACCTGCTCAAGATCATCACAGAGCCTTTCACTAAGCTCATCATCCAGGTGGGGGCCTGGGGTGGGGCTGGGGGATAGTAAGTGGGTGGTGGGTGAATGTCTCCTGCCCTCACTCCTCCCACCCACATCTTGCCTCAGCTGGACAAGTCTGTCATTACCAACATTGCCACTGGTGACGAGTCCCTGAGGAACCACAGTCTCATCCGGATCTGGTGCCATTCAGATCCCCTGGAGGTGAGTCACAGGCATGGTACCCCAATAAGAAGCCTCCCTCTGCACATAGCTGATGGTTGGTTTCATCGTCCATTTAGAACACCGCAGACATACCTTGGAGTTCAATTAGCCAGGAGAGGGTGAATGGGTGACATCTTTACTGTGATACCGTGCTATATCTGACATTGCAACCCCTCACAGCCTCACTCCTGCCTTATGTCAACATTGCCCATCAATTACAGGTGGCAGGTAAATGGTTCTCAACAACATTGGTACCACCAGGGAACTGATTAGCGATGTAAACTGTTGGGCCCTTCCCTAAGCTTGGAGACCTGGGTGGTACAAACGATTAATACATTCAGCTACTAACAGAAAGACTGGAGGTTTAAGTCTACCCAGAGGTGGCTTTGAAGAAAAGCCTGGCTATCTACTTCTGAAGAACCAGCCGTTGAAAACCCTATTGAGCATAATTCTACTCTGACACATCTGGGGTCACCATGATTCAGAACTGATTTGACAGCAACTGGTGCTAGTACTAATAATACTGTCCTTAGATCTACTGAAGCAGGAAAAAAAAAAAAACTTCTGGGGATGGGGCCCAACAGTGTATGTTTCAACAAGCCCTCCAGGTCTGTTCCACAGTCAAGTTTGAGAACTACCTTCTGGTTTCACAGGTAGGGAAATAGGTTCAGAAAAGTTAAAGAACTTGCCAGAGCTTGCCCACAGTACCAATGGCTGAACGATGGTCTCCCAGTTCAAGGCTCTCTTTTGTCCTCTGTGGCGCCAGCGTTAGGGTCTCTACTGTGCCTCGATTTGGGGTCCAGGTAATGTTGGAGTGGAGTGTTACAAGGACACCCAGGAAGGTAGGAAGAACAGGAAACTGACTCAAGGAGGCCTGAAAAACTGCCCTTTTGGAGACAAGGCAACAGCAGGTTATGGTATCAGCATCCGGGGCTCTGGCCCTTCAGCCCGCCAGGGGCGCAAGTTTACTTCTCTGCACTGTTTCTGCTTCGCTGGCCTCCTCTGCCCAAAAGAAGACCTGTTCGGACAGTCTCTGCCACAGAATACCTCCAGGGACTGCCCATCACACCAGACTAACAAGGAAGCAGGCAATTAGCACACTTTCTCCATGGAAAGACAACACTTCATCAAAACTATAATCCAGAACATTTGCTTCTCCTTAATTATTGTACTCAAAAAGTAATGCAGTTTAGAACAAGATATGTTGTTGTTATATGCCGTCAAGTTGGACTCATAGCAACCCCTCCTTGGGTTTCCTGAGGCAGTATCACTATAGAAGTAGATTACCCAACCTTCCTTCCGAGGAGTGGCTGGTGGGTTTGAACCACCAGTCTACTGGTTAGTAGTCAGGTGCCTTAGGCACTAGGCTACCAGAGCTTCTAGCAGTTAACAAGTAGAGAGGGTGAAGGGTTTGAATTCCCTTAGAACAAAATATAAGGGAATTCAAACCCCTTCACCCTCTCTACTTGTTAACTGCCTCAGAGTCAGCCCTGACTCAAAAGATCAATGAAAATCTGCCCGGTCTGGGATCCTGCACCATTCTTGCAGACTGGACAGCTGTGATCCACAGGGTTTGCACTGGCTGGTTTTCAGAAGTAGATTGCCAGACCTTTCTTCCTACATCATCTTAGCCTGCAAGCTGCACCGAAACCTGTTCAGCTCACAGCAACATGTGAGCCTGAACTTCCACTGCCTCCGTATCTCAGTGTGAACAGAACAAACCTTCTCACTCGCCCTACACTGCCCCTTTGCATCTGTGGTGGTCCACAGCTCCACCTCAGCCACTCTGAGTCTTCAGAGTTTGACATCAAAAAGCCCCTGTGTGCCGCTTTCCCCCCAACTTTGTTACCCTCTAACACAGCTATCTTCTCAGCAGCCCTCTGAGCACTCTCTGATCTCTCTGGGTCACTAATCGCTAAGATCTCCTCTCCTTCAGAGCAAAATGTGAATAAGATTTGATCTTCACAAAAAACAAGCCATGAAAGGGAGATCATCAGCTGTGAGTCACGTCCTCTGAGGTCCCTGCCCCTCACCTGCAGCTGTGCTCAGCAGGACTCAATGACTAAGATGACTTTCAGCACGCACTGGCTCACCTAATTCAGTCCTCATGCCAGTCTGGTGAGGCTCACATGATTATCCCATTTCACGTGAGAGGAGACTAAGGCTTAGCAGCAGGAAGCAACCTGCTCAGTTCACTTGCCTGGAGCTGCCCTCACAATGTGTCACGACTACAGCTGCCACTTGCCTGGCCACCAGCTTCTTGTCCCCACTCTATGGGCAAGCCCTTTCCTTCATGGCAGTGTTCAGGTCAGATTTCCTTGGTGTGGAGAGTGGCTGGTGGGGGGATCAGAGCCCCCTGTTCTCACCCTCTCTTTGGGCTGTGCCCTCTGGGAACTTGACTCATGCAGCAATGGGCTTGCTCTTCCCCTGTAGCATGCATGCTCCTTCTGTCCTGAAGACTCACCTTCGTCCTTTGGCCACAGAGTCTCTCTTTGTTTTATTCCTTGCCTCTAGCTCGGTAGCATAGTGCCTGAGGCATTTGACTGCTAACCAGAAGGTTGGCGGTTCAAACCCACCAGCCACTCCAGGAAAGGAAGACTGGGCAATCTACTTCTGGTTACTGCCTGGGAAACCCAAAGGGTGGTCACTATGAGTCAGAATCAACTGGATGGCAATGAATTTGGTTTGCTTTTGTTTTCCAGCTTTCAGCAAACTGCAGTCACCCTTACCCAAAAAGGTGGAGGATTGGGAGGTCTGAGCTTTGCCAGAAAATGAAAACCAGAGGCAGTTTCAGGGTTTAACTCAATGCTCAGGGGGCCTGGCATTGACCTGGGTGTCACTGTCTTGTATGGTCACATTGTGGGCTGTCAGCCACACCAACCTTATTTAAACAAGCATCTTTTGAGGACTCAAAACCTGGAAAGCAGGGATTATTACATCCCGATTTAACAGATGAGGAAACAGATTCAGAGAGGTACAGGAGCTTACTTAAGTTTACGCAGTTGAGATAGGACAGAAACCCTGGTAGAGTCCATGCTCCTGAGTCTCCATCTTGCTGTCCCTCCAAGATGCTAGCTTCATTTCCCACCACATCCGTCTATTCCCTTCCTTGCTCTGCCCATCAGCCCTGAACCACGAGGTGACCAAAGCTGCCCCAGATGACTTCCAGGGATGGTGGGTGCGGCTCTATTGCTTATTTGTACTCTTAGCCACCAGAGGGCGGTACTGGTACGGAGTTCTTCCTTTGCTTCCTGGAGAACAAAGACCTTGGAGTTCTTCCCAGGGGGAAACTGCTTTGCAGGCCTACATCTCCTTTGTTTCTTCCCAGGGGAAGCATTCTTAAAGCTGACACTCTTCTGCAAGATTAATCACCTCTTTCAGTTCCCAGAGGTGCCTCCTTAATTTGGGGTGTCTCTGCAGGCACTTAAATCCCAGCTCTCTTCCAAGATGCTTGGCAACTACCCCCTGGGAAGAGGTGGGCAGCATTATGGATCCCATGCTGCAGAGGAGGAAATTAAGGCCCAGAGAAGTATACTGTTTCATCCAATGTCACACAGCAGGGCAAGGCTCACTCTGTTCTCTTCTCACAGAGCTTCTCCATCTACCCCTCCCCCACCCATCCAAGCAGGATGAGCTCATCACTGGGATATGCCCTAGACCCAGGGCCTTCCAGTTCTCTTATCTAGGCTAGAGCATCTATCTTCTTTCTCCACCCTGGGGCCTATCTGTTCCTTCTCCTCAGCACCCCCACCCCCCAAGCCGGCCCTCTCTCTGTCCCTCCTGCTGCCTCTACACTCCTCTCTGGGCTTCAAGGGTTGGTGTGTGATCACACCCCAGGTAGGAAGGTCAAAAGTCAATGTTCCAAACCCCAGAGGTCACACACCCAGGTGGAGGGTCAAAGGTCAAAGTTCCAAACCCCAGAGGTCATAGCCCTGAGTAAGGACCTCAGCAAGTTCCTCCACTCCCCCAGGAGACCCCTGGGCCCAGCTCAGGGTGGACTGTGGGGCACAGGCTGGGGCAGGCATCTACTCTTCTCAGGGGTCATCTGCCCCACAGGGCTGTAGACTTGGGACCCCCAGAAGGGTCTCCAACAGGCATATCTCCACCTGGGACAAGTTTGCAGGAGCCGTAACATTGGCCCAATTGGGATTTCCCAGAGAATTCTGGGAAAACACTGATCCTGACCTAGGAAGTCAATCACACACACACACACACAACCTTCCCACCATCTGATCCTGGATGGCCTCAGAGAGGGATAGGATCTAATCCTTATCTAGACACACAATTTACTGAAGGCTTGTCATGAGCCCTGCAGGGAATGCCTCACACACATTTTCTCCTGTAAACTTTCCACCAGCTCTTATGTCCACTTTAGAGAAAACAGGCGCCAAGAGGTGACATAAGGAGCTCTGGTGGCACAGTGCCTAAGGCATTTGACTGCTAACCAGAAGGTTGGTGGTTCAAACCCACCAGCTGCTCTGTGGAAGGAAGATGGGGCAATCTACTTCCGTAAAGATTTATCACCTCACAAACCCAATGGGGGTTATGAGTCGGAATTGATTTGACGGCTGTGAGTTTGTTGGTTTGAGAGGTGACATGACTTGTCTAAGGTAATTGGGACAAGAAAGGATTAGAACCCAGTTCTGTCTCCAGTAGACACCTGGCTCTCTCCCCGAGATGGAGTACAAGAGGGAAGTTCCCCTCACACTGCCCGCCTGGTTTTCCATTCTAATCCATCAGAGCTCTCTTCTCTGCCTGCAATTCATGCAGGGGTTGATGGTGCCCTAGTGTGAACTGGGAGCACCAGGGTCACATTAGCCCACTTCAGGGAGCCCTTCCCGCTGAAATAAACCATGGTGTTACAGCCAGATGCCAAAGCAGTTCTTATCTCCAGTCATCACAGTCTTTTCAAATAATACATTTAGAACAAAACCTAAAGGAGCTGTAAACAGGGAAGTGGCAACACCCAGTATGAGCCTCACTCTCAGTACAAGGGAGGTCAGAGGGGTCTAGGGTAGAAGCCCACAAGAATAAGGGGCAAGGTCCCATACCAGCCCCACCAACCATCTGTTGCTGTGGAGTCCATTCTGACACGTGTCAACCCCATGGGTGTCAGAATAGAAATGCTCCAAAGTTTTCAGTGGCTGTAACATTACAGAAATAGCCAGCCAGACCTTTCTTCAAGGCACTGATGCGTGGACTCGAACCACCAACCTTCTGGTTAGTAGCCAAATGCAAACCATTTGTGCCACCCAGATACCAGCCCCCAAGAAGAGGCCAAAAACTAGTTGCCATAGAGACAATTCCAACGTATGGTGCCCCCATTGTGTTAGAGAAGAACCAGGCTCCATAGGGTTTTCAGTGGCTGGTTTTTCAGGAGTTTATCACCAGGCCTTTCTTCTGAGGTAGCTCTGAGAGGACCCAAACCACCAATCTTTTAATTAATAGCTGAGCATGTTAACCGTTTGTACCACCTAGGGAACTCCCCAAGACGCAACTGAATGTGGTGAATGCCAGGGACAGGACAGGAGTTCCAGCCCTGGAATTTTACCTGGGGCCCTGGCAGCTCTTGCTGGGAATGTGGCCCTGGCAGGTAACTGCCCCTCTTTGAGGCTCAGTCCTCCTTTTTGAGACAGCAAGGTTGCAGAGGAAACCAGGTAACCAAGTCAGGCCACTTAGGCTTTTTTCTTTCCCACCACTGGAAGGCTGCTGGCTTCCTGGGGGAAAGTAAGGGGCCCAGTACTACATTTAAAAAATAGCTTGCTAACCCACTGAGGCTACAGATGAGTGGTATACAGGCCAGACTAAGCTGCTTCTCTTTGGCCTTCAGAGAATTCTAAGCTATGCCTCAAAGTGGTTGCCAACGTTTACTAATTGGGAGAGTTTATCTAAAACTTCACTGTTTGGGGTCCTCCTGTAACATTGACAATTAGGCATGCTGGCTGTGTCCCTGGACTGTGATGGTGGCTCGGAGCTGAGTAGCTGCTGCCCCTACGGGCTCAGCACACCAGCTCCAGTTGGCCAGCCTGAGCCCTCATTTGCCACCTGCCTGGCTCTGGGGCCTTCTGAAGCGGGGGCCTCCAAGGAGCCCATTCATTTCACTGATAGTCGGTAAGGAGGGAAGAGATGGGAGGGCTGGACCCCTTCACCCCTACCTGACCCCTTTGGATAAAGAACTGAGCAGGAGGAGAAGCGAGCCTGGGCTCACACTGTTTTAGGGGAGAGGATGGGGCAAGGAAGCTGGGGAGGGCCCGGAGATCAAGAAAGGGTTTGGTCATAAAAGATGAGGTAAGGGAGAACTTTCAGAAAAAGAGGAACAAGGTGAGAAAAATTGGGCTTGGCTCCTAATGCCTCTGAGAGGTGGAGGAAACAAAGACAAGATGCTACTGGATTTGGTGATCAAGAGGCTTTCTGCCAGCCCTGGGAGTGCAGGTCAGCAAATGATGACTCACTCACTGCAGTAGAGTTGGATCCAACTCATAGCAACACCCCCCCTTGGGTTTCCAAGGCAGTATCACGAACTACGGAAGCAGATTGCTCAACCTTCCTTCTGAGGAGTGGCTCGTGGGTTTGAACTGCCAGCCTTCTGATTAACAGTCAAGTGCCTTAGGCACTACGGCTCCAGAGCTCCCAGCAAGTGATGGGGAGTGTACAAAGAGGACCCACTATGGCCAGCCCTTTGTGTGGTGGGCATTTTCACGCACAGTTCTTCTGTAGAGGAAAGCAAGGCACCATCCACCATCACAGGGCCAGGAGGCCCATCTCTAGCTCCATGCCCCTCCCCCATCTTAGACCTAAGCCTGGCCTGCATTTTCCTAAATTCTCTAAAGTCACCTGCTCTTAATCTAGGCTGGCGCCTCCATGCCCAGGGCAGAAGCCAACACCAGCTGGCCCACTGGAAATGCCACCGCAGAGAAATGTAAGTGCCTGCCATGTGAAGGAGGCTGCTGGTTCTGGGAAGGACAAGGCCTGGGGAAGAGTTCACTGTCAACTGGCCCAGGTCCCGAGCTTGGGGTTTTAGGCTCAGAGTCTAATAGGGTGGGAAAGATGGGGGGCTGGGATCTGGGGGAGGGTCAGTATTCAGCAGCTTGACACCCTACTCCTGCAGGCAAACACATCTTTGTGGACACAAGGCTGCCAGACCTGGCCGTGGGGCTCATTCTGCTGGCAGGCTCCCTGGTGCTTCTGTGCACCTGCCTCATCCTCCTCGTCAAGATGCTCAACTCCCTGCTCAAGGGCCAGGTGGCCAAGGTCATTCAGAAGGTTATCAACACTGGTGAGTACTGGGCAGTGGGTAGCCACAGCACCCTTCCAGATCTCACTGAGTCCTGCCACTGCCTTGCTGTGTGATCTGGACAAAATCCTACCATTTCTGAGCCTGTTTCCCCATCTGAACAAAGAAGGGGTGGGACCAGGTGATTTCTGAAGCCCTTGAGGTGGTGACAGCTGAGGATCTATAGTTGCCTCTTGCTGTAGTTCCATTTAAGCCTATGGCTCTAAGATTCTCAGAGAAGGTTTGATTCAAATCAACAGAGTTCATTAAGCCCTTGGCATTATGCACCAAGCAGCAGTCCCTGGGTGGTACAAATGGTTAACAAACTCAGCTACGAACTGAAAGGTTGGAGGTTCGAGTCTACCCAGAAGCACCTGAGAAGAAAAACCTGGTGATCTACTTCTGAAAAATCAGCCATTGAGTGCAGTTCTACTCTGACACACATGGGGTCACCATGAGTTGGAGTTGACTCAATGGCAACAGGTGACTAGTGTGTGCTAAGCATGGTGCAGTGCTAGGAATATAGAAGTGAGCCAAGTGAGATGCATACTGCCCTCAGGGGCTCACAGCACAGCTGGAGACTTTGGGCAAGCAAGAATACAAGAATAAGTGAGTGAGTTGGATGAATTTAGAGAAAGTGAGAGGTAGCTGCCAAGGAGAAAGCAACACATAGCAATGCAAGAGAGAATGAAAGAGACAACATTCCATGGGCTGTCAGAGGCCTCTCTGAGGAGGTGATGCTGGAGCAGAGCCTAAAATGAAGAGAAGTCATTAAGATGTGGGTGAAGAGCATTCCAGGTGGCAGAAAAAGCTCACGCAAAGGCTCAGGGGCAGGAACTCGCTTGGCAGGTATGTGAGTGAGGCATCAGAGAGATGTGGGGTTGTCACTGAGGTCACAGGGAATGGAGCATCAAAGGGCACAAAGGCCATCTCAGAGCCTGGACTTTATTAAGGGTACAGGGAGCACTTGGAACATTGGGGGCAGCAGAATGACACTATTTTAAATTCCATTTTGAGTGTTTGGGGCACTGGCTGGCATGGCAAATGCTGCAAGAAGGGGCCTCTGTGGGGCTGTGGAAAGCACAGAGAAGGGCAGAGGATCAGGGTGGATTTCCAGTGGAAGTGACATCTGCACTGAGTCCTGAGGATACTATCTAGGAGCCGAGGAGGACGTTTTTGGCAGATAGAACCAGACTGAGAAGGGCCTTTATCGAAAATTGAAGAGGAAAATGGAGGCTCTGCTGTTGACAGTGGAACTGCCAAGGTCCTACTTGGAAACTGGCCTCCAAATACCTGCACCCCGCAGGAAGGGCTCCTACCCCTCACCCAGTACCCCCACTGACCAGGCCTGCTGGGATGGGCTTTCATTGCAGACTTCCCCGCCCCCTTCACCTGGGTCACGGGCTACTTTGCCATGGTGGTGGGTGCAGGCATGACCTTCGTTGTCCAGAGCAGTTCTGTGTTCACCTCGGCCATCACCCCACTCATTGGTGAGTGCCCATGCCAGCGGGTGGGGCTAAAGAAGGGAGCTGGGGAGGGGAGCGTAACCTCTCCCTCTGTTCCCCAGGCCTGGGTGTGATCAGCATTGAACGGGCCTACCCCCTCACACTGGGCTCCAACATCGGCACCACCACCACTGCCATCCTGGCTGCTCTTGCCAGCCCCAGGGAGAAGCTGTCCAGTGCCTTCCAGGTGCGTTGGTGGGGGTGGGGTGGGTGGGTGCCAGAGGCAGGAACAGGCCTGTACCTATGGCTTGGGGTCTCACTGAGGGGGTTACAACATGTCACAAATAATTTTTGGCTGACTTCTAGGTGCCATGCACTATGCAGGCTCTGTGGAAACCAGTGTGAACAAAGTAGATAAAGTGCCACCCTCCAGACCTCAGTGTCTACGAAAAACAAACAAACAAAACCCAATTGCCTTTGAGTAGATTCCGACTTATAGGAACCAGATCGATGTTAGAGTAGAACTACTTCTGTGGAGATACTGCCTCAGAAACCCAAGGAGGGGTCACTATGAATTGGATCCAACTCGATGGCAGTGAATTTGGTTTTGGTTTTTTATGGTCCATAGGGTTTCAGTGGGAGCTCTGGTAGCATAGTGGCTAAGGCACTTGACTGCTAACCAGAAGGCTGGCGGTTCAAACCCACCAGCCACTCCTCGGAAGGAA